TTTATGATTCGCTGGGAAAAGTATTGTGCCAATCTTGCACAACCATTTGGGTCAAAAATCAAAACACAAAAACCTAGCAAGCTATTTCGGTCAAAAACAAAAAAAGCACATTAACTTTATTCTTTTTATTGCATGAAATGCCTCCAGCCATCTTTCAAATATGAAAAGCTTCTATTCATCCTCATTGTAATTTCATAAGTACGTCCTTCCACAATGCACGTCTGTGGAAGAATGGAATGATATGACCTGCGATGACTGATGGAATTCTCTACAAGCAAAAAATGGTTTTCAACTGTAATGTACATAATTAATTAACTCTTGAAATTAAAGTATGAACAGAGCATACCATGCTCGGGCTAGTTGGTAGTAGCATGACTTTGAAAAAAGATAGGAGGTCGTCAACCATATTGTTTCACCTACAAATTATACGTTATTGTAAGGCATACATTCTATCATTTTTTTTCCTTATTTTAGATCCATCTGTACAAACATGTACCAATTTGTATCAAATTTATGTAACAGCACCAGAAAATGCATTATAAATAAATGTAACTTGTCAACAAAGTGTAGGTTAAATTTCTGGATATATCTGCTTGAGATAATTATTTTTGCATTATTACATCTCTCAACTGTTATGCTCACTATTTAGCCACACATGTAAAAAATTAGCAGTAAAATACAACATTTAGGCTCAATATCTTGTGTACTGCAAATGCAATCATTGAAGATATGAAAAAGAAACGCAATAACATAACCAATGCAAATAAGGAAAATGGTGTAAAATGAATTCTTTTGTTTACATTACGAAAAAAGAGACGCGATAACATAACCAAACATTAATCCATAGAACAATACAGTCTACAAATGAGCAATTAATGTAAGAATGTACTTACCCAAAGAAAGAATGACATGAGTGGCTTGATAGAGTAAATTTTATCTGGCTATCTTCATTTCCCTGATAAAGGAGTGTCAAGTATATATAAGAGAATATAATAATGACGCCATATATACTGATCATGGGTATGGGGAGGCAAGGGATAAGGGAAGAACCTTGTGACTACGCAAATACTGGGTAAATGGCAGCCTTTTGTTCATTGTTTAACCTGTTCACAATAACAATTTAGCATGCATCAGTCTCAAGAAACTTTGAAAGAGAAAATTAGACCTTCAAAAAAAATGCATGATTAGAGTCATGCTTTTCCATTATAAACCCAACAATGGACACCACGACGACCACTATAAACCCATAAATGTAGTTGAAACCAAAGTCAACTGCACAACTTTAAGGCATTGTAACTTTTATTATAGTAAGGTAATGATTAAGAAACAAAAGAAGCTGATCATAAAGGCTCCCTCAATCAATAGGTACAAAAGGGAAGTTGATTAGCAGTTTTTTTTTTTAAAAAAAAAAAAANNNAGGGAGGATGGGTAATTGTACACAATAAATGACTAATGGATTAATGGACTAATGGATTGCACATGATGACATGTAAATATAATAATATCAAATAAACAACTGCAGCTCTCATTTTTCAAAGTTCAGAACAAAGTAGACAATTTTAAGTATGTTTATTTTGGCATGGCATCCACGAACAAAAACCATCCATAAATTGGTACTGGACATAGAACTGAATTTAATGATTGTTGAATACACCTGTGGAGTAATCTTGACAAGAAAATGTAATGATTGTTGAATACACTTGTGGACGCACCTTATTGCAAGCCAGGAAAGCAGCTCCTAAGTCTAAACACATAGTTGTACAATAATTCACCGAGCAACCTTTGTTTTCAGAAAACTCAAACAACTGTCAATTTAAGGCAGAAAAAAAAAAA